GGAATTTAGGAGTCACGATAATTTCAGGTTATTAATCGCGAGCGTCTTCTCTACCACTAGCAAGATTCAGCGAATAAAATAGGAAAAAAAAAACACTTCGTTTGTGTTACATGCACTTGCGCTACAGTATCACTACTCGTTTTTATATATTTATTCCACTTCTTGCGCACCATTAAAAAACTTTTTTTTTGTCTATTATAGTTCGCTAGAACGACTCGCCTTCGCTGATGTAATATTTAACCGACTGCAAGATTTATGATACTCGGTGTAAGCCTTGTTTCCTATGCTTTACATTACGATAGCTGGGAATATCTGGGATTAAAACGGACTATCATACAGAACAAGACATAATTCTCGGGGGTCACCGAAAGATGGTACTGCTGAAGACGCAGTTACAGCAAATCCCGTGTATTCGCAAAACATCGTAACTTAGATGGCTCAGTACGTAACGGGACTAGTCTCATACTTCCAAGTATTTTCATTCCAGATGCAAATGATATCGTTTTCAGAAGGCGAGCCGTGAAAATCTGATCGTTCGAGCGGATTTTTCAGCGGGAAACTACAGCAGTTTGAAACAACAGTATATTTGGTAAAGGTCCTACTACTCGAAACGCTGTAAAACTTCCAGCAATGAAATTTTGGATTTGAAAATGAATCTTGTGAAAGACGCCCTGCCCTCTAAAGGCGAGTACCGAAGCATTGAAGGCTCTTATAGAAGCCTATCTAAGGTGCGTCCACCGGTGTGAACGTTTTTATTATGCTAAGGTAAAGGTTATGTACAAGTAGCATAGCTGTTTGCATGAACATGGTAAAACTTTAGGCAGATGGGTGTCGTTTAGTTTGAGCAAGGATCGAAAATAAACGTGGAGACGCTTGCTTCTCCTTGCCTCCACAATACAACATCAACACATTCTTTTACTAAATCATGATTTCTCATTTAAAAAAAAGGGGATCGCGAGCGATCACTTAAATGGGCAAATAAACCTTATGATATCCAAAACCGGTGTTGTCCTTGATGATGACATTAATCCTAGCTTGTCGATTACTGCCAACATTTGCAGGATATCATGATCAAGCTGTGCATTAACCGGCTATAAGCCACTGCTGTTGAACGACAGCCCTTGACTCTCACACCGCGAGGACCAAGAATGCAGATGTTACCGTTAAAGGTTTTTCGGCATCCACCATACTCGCCAGGTATCTTAATAACATTTTAATAAGAACATCATTCAGATCTCACCATGATGTCGAAATCCCCTTCCGGGAACTCATAGGCTCTCCTAGATTTCTTTTAAGTAAGTTAGACAATAAAGGGAGATATTTTTAGATTAAAATTAATAGAACTAGTAATTAGAGTGTACCATGTCACGTTTAGTTAATGCGCTCAATAAACGTAGATCGTTTACTAAAAGGTAATTTGTAAATGAATTTTATCATATGTTAATGTTAACGTCGTTATGTACAAGCAGCACGCAGGTGGCGATGCAACGGGAGTACAGACGTCACTTCAATTCATTGTACTTGTTTGTTATTGTTTTGTCTATCAATGGTGGATCATCATACGTGCTGGTGGGTTAGTTAATACATTCATGACCCCTTGCTCTTACTATAGTCACAAAAACACCTATCGAACAATGTCCACTGATCTTTTCTAATATTACGGGCAATCACAATTCAACTTCGTAATAAGCATTTTTACTATGTAACTAAGCTATTGTCCAAATTACTGAAGCTACTCTCGATACAAAATAAATTGATTCCAGCACGTTTCCGTTCCACTTTGGAGAGCATTGAAGGGCCACATAAACATTGCCTTATCCATCATTTCATGTACTGTCTTGGATTATTCTACTATTATAATTGGCATACGTTTAAGTTACTCGCGCAAGTATATAAAATAAGTAGAAGTAAGTAGAAAAATAAGTCTCATGCATGTTTGAGCTGACAAAGTTTCGACTATCCCGCCGCGACTTGGACCCGCGCCTGATTCATGGAGCGAATATGCTCGTTGTATATCTTTACGCGATCTGTTGTCAGTTTTGTAGCTTAACAAGAATACACTATCTTCGCGAAAAAACAGGGTGCCCACTGTCAGAATGTGCGACGTGTAGTGTTTCCGGAAAGCCTGTTGTTATGTTGGAGCTCCTCCGTTCGCCCGGATCTCCGTTGGTGCTACTAGTTCGGCAAGAGCGGCTCCACCTCGTTGTTAACCTGTGTTCCCGTTCTGTGAAGTCAAAATTGTATGATTGTTAAAAGAGATAAGTGATTTGCAAAATTTGAGATAGGGATCACTATCAGATGTGGTCTGTGTGATACAAATTTTGCATTTTTTACACTAGCGTAACTTCAGCTCTTCATCGCAACGTTCCGGTGGATTTTCGTGTAAAAAATTGGTATTCGCATTGGATGGGTGTAGATTTTGTTTTGCCTCTATTGTACGTCCGTTTTAACTTTTCTTACAATTGTTTCGGTGACCTAAGGATAATTTGCTGTACGAAGCAGGAACGCCACGGAAAAATGCCTCGACTGATGAATGATTACCGTTGAGCTATCCACAGGGCCATCCTGACAGCAGCTTCTGGAAACGTGTCACGTATAAGAAAATTGTTGAATCCTTGAGGTTTGAGGTCTGTATATTTTATTAGGGTGCTCGTATCAGCAATGCTCATACCGGCTCCCCACATTTAGGGTAATCTTTTTAGTAATTAATAATTCATGTAATTCTAACAAGACAACGCCTTTCTACTGTGGGCGGGTAGGACTTACTTTCCCAGGCGAGCATCCTGGTGAATTGTTTGGCATGGTCTCTGGATGACTACCTTGTTTAGTAGTGGTTTATTTTCACCTTACAGATTTGACAAACATTGTCCTCTGCATCGTCCTTAATTGTAGGCTAATATATTGTATTTCTAACGCAGCCGGACGTTGCATTATAAGCTAATGTAATTTATGTGCCCCGCGCCTGAACTCGGTCCCGAGATCAGATAGAATTATTAATGCTCGTCTTGCTTTTACTAGCTAGTTATATACTATTAGTTGATTCCGTATGCCCCAGTGTAACAAGGTTCTTGTAGCGTGCTTTTATTTGTTGAGCCAATCTTCCTGAGTTTCTCTAACCGACTTGACTCCCCATGGAAGTATCTGCTTTACTGGCAAAAATTGCGTCAGAATACCCGCCATTTTCATTAAAACTCCCCAAAGATCCGTTCCATATAGCGAGCCTAAATGATATTGAGAAGCAATGAAACCTTCCTAGACAATAATCGTTACCGTTATTCGTAATGGCTAAAAGCTTCTGAGTTGTTTGTTGCATACGTATTTCTAATGCACATATGCGTACTAACTGGCTTGTGCGATAAGGCCTATTTGATAACCTAGGTGTTACGAAAGCAATTCGTTGCAGTACTTGCACAAAGGCCGCCAGTGTTCTAGAGCTCAGCTTGACAGGAAGTGGTCGGCATCCAGATGACCGATTACCGATACCTCCGCTTCGCGAAATGAACTTCGATGAACTCAGCTTCGCTCTTCGGCGAGACTTAAATACAATAGGCAAGATTTGCACGATGCACACACACACTGTAAAAAGATAACTAGCCCTCATTCAGCTTCGTGCACTCTTATGATGGGTGAATGCGTGACGACGTGTAAGCTCGTTTGCTTTGAAGAAAGCATCATTTCGTAGCATACGGCGTATATCTTAGATCCTTGGAAACTGCCCCACTACTAGTTGAATTTGGCAAGATGTCTGCTAAACGACGCATCTAAGCACTGAAATTATCTGAGCTTCCCAAGGGTCCTTTCAATTATAACCGTCCCGTAGATTCTTTTAACTGATGTGTACAAATGTCCCTAGAACGCGAACCCAACAGCCACAAGGCGATCGGAAACCGACAACGGCATAGTGTCACGAGGAGGCTTACGAAGTCGAGTACCGTGAGCCTGGCGTCAAACCTTCTTCGTGGTTATTCTTCGGCTCTGTTCGAAACAGAGCTTGCCTAACAAAGACATGACAATGTTATAATAAATATGGAAAGCTTCCGGCGAAACTCTCATTGCGACTTTCATCAAATCTTGGCTCGTACAATTTGTACCTGTATACATATATATGGTAGGCCATATAGGTTAAACGATTTAGATTACAAAACAGCCACAAGAAGCACGCGATTAAATTGTTTTAATAATGAAACCAAGTTTATTTATGTACAAAAGATCTGCAGTCAAATATATTGTTATTATTAAACAATATTTAGTATTTACACTCTGTACTTCAGTAGACAGCCATGTTCGCCCACCCCTACAGGCGAAAACCCAATATCTGTTCATTGACATTATCATTCGCTACCGAAATATCGAAGTCGTCCATCTGAAGTCACCTATCCAAGATAAATTACTACAGGGCCATCTTCATGCTGCTATAGTTCCATCTTATTTGTATCATCGTAAAATTTATATTTTTCAATTAATATGTATGTTCTACAAAAATACGTTATTTCGTTTATGTTTGACAACACGAATTCTACTGTTCCGTCATTTTTCTTCCTCATTATATTCATGGTCTTCACTGGTTGATTCGGTACTATGGCAATGGTCGTTTGTCATTTGTGCTACAGTTAATGATAGTGGTATCTCGTCGAATAATAATTGTTTTGCATACAAACATTACGAATGGGTCGCGTTTCCATCTTATTTTATTTAATTATATCGAACGCTATCAATAGGTGTCCGCCCAACGTCATTCATCGTAGTACTTAACACGTTCACGTTCCCTTATCGTCATGCCTTCCTGACTTCCGCAGTATTTAGTTACTATCAAGTGAATGTTCGCACCGGCAGTTGAAATCAATTGGCGACTATCTGTTGTCGTTGTTGTAGATAATGTTGATTTTTTTTTCTACTTTTCTGTAGTCACTCCGTTGCCGTCCTCGTTGCACCGATATGTACTAAGCCGTTTTATTTAGCAACAATAATCTGATATTTACGACTTGCCTCTAGCTCTCTGGTTTTTTTTTTTTTGCTATGCCAGCTCACTGTTGTTTGTACTTCTAGCTTGAGTCGTCCATTTATTAGATAGTAGTTAGCGTACACACGCTAATCGATGCTATATCTGACGGGTTGACGATCGGTTAATAGGGAACCTATTTTAGCCACGGCTGGCTGGAGTGTCCGTGCATGAACGCCTCTGGTGATCAGAAAACTTGTCAGTCGGTGTCATCTCGGTGTCGTTGTGGCGTATGTTTTTCATGTTTTTACTATCTGAGGTACGTGTATCTCGGGCTGTGTGTCTGTATCTAGTAAAAGTGAAGCTCAGAGAGCAAGAAAAGGCTACGGATTTGTAAGTCATCGAAACAACAACGCCCGTTAATTAATCGTGTTAACGTATTTAATACTTGTTAGTCGGACCGAGATGACATCTATAAAAGTGTTCCTGACAAAAAAATAACGTGGGCAATGAACTACCGCTTCCGAGTCACTCAGGCGAGCGTTGCAAAGGAGGATTTTAAACATTTCGATTTAAAACAGCATCCTGGAACAACAGGATCTAAACAAATCTATTTTATGAATCGTTTGTCAGAATGCGTCAGTATTAAACGTGCCTGCGCACAGAAGTCCGTGGTCAAGATAGCTGTTGCCAAATTAATGGGTATGTTGAGTATTTCTGAAATGAGAAAGCTTCTATGATTTTACTGCTCTATTCCAATGACCCATATAGCTTAATGGGCTATTATTTTTCCCATCTTCTCACTGGGCGTTCCGACAGATGGGGACAACTGTTCGTTACTGTATCGCAGGCGGATCCACAACTCAAAATTCTAAACAAGTCATTTTGTTCCTTTGTCTAATTCAGAGAGAGAGAGAGAGAGAGAGAGAGAGAGAGTGTGAGTGAGAGTGATAATAAAAGTAAAAAAAAAATGCTTACTCGAACTTGTTGGGCGCCATTTCGTCTGATTTTAAGGTCCTCTGTGCAGGACCGAATTACACGGATCAGATTATCAGCGTGATATGAGGATCTCTTCGAAGTGTTTGCCTTCCAAATAAACGTATACTTGTAGTACATGAAGCCTTACAGATCATATTAATTTGATTTTTTATCGCCGTTAGTAGCAGCAGTGCCCATTTATGCAGCTACCTCTGACGTCCCTTCTCAGGCGTGCACGACAATCATTTGGCTTTGGTCGCTGTTATTGTTTTCCACTTATAATCTGCGTAAAAAAGAAGGCGCATCATGGGTAAGCAACACTGCGAACTATGCGGAAATGGTCGAGATATTTGTGCCAGTTTCTGGGCAGTGAGTGCGACTGTCTGAAAAGCAGCGGTCGCAAATGTAATCCGCGAAGCTGAGGCGGACGATCCACCGAGAGAGGAAAGAAATTAAATTACAAATAGGGAAACGGATCGTCCGCCAGATACCATTCCCGAACACTCGTTTATATTTTTTCATAAAGTGGCCTTTTTTCATGCCACCCGATGCCTTCACCAGTCAGCGTACGCCTGTCACAGCAGGGGTAAAAAATTGAATAAAAAGCTCAGCATAATCAATTGCTCTTGTCCACCTCTTCCTTATCTGGGATGATCGTTTAAGAAGCAAATGCAGCCTTCAGGTTCTTCTTCAGCTGTACCCTTAACTAATACACCTGCTGTTACTGGCTTAGTAGATTTTATCGAGTACTCCTTTTATAGCCAGATTGCGGAGTGCGTAGCAAATGCTGGTTGGGGGTGACAAATCAATAAATTCGGCAGTTGTCTGTTTTTCTTCTATATTATCTATGATGTCTTGTCTCATATACTGTTGTCACTGTACTCGTGTTACTCGTATTTCTGTTACTGTGAGTGCTCGGCTCTGCAGAACTTCTTGTTAATTTTTATGACCTCACCCGTACGTCTATATTAGACGTGTGTGTGTGTGTGTGTGTGTGTGTGAGCGTGTGTGTGAGCGTGTGTGTGTGTGTGTGTGTGTGTGTGTGTGTATCTATATATATACACACTCAGACACACACACACACACACACACATATATAGAGCTCTGTACTATAATATCGTCTTGTCGACGCCAGGAAGTAGATGTGACACGAGTCTGGGTCTTTCGTTGAGATGTGTGCGATTCTCTTGACAGGAACAGCAGCAACGGATTCGGCAGTCAACGAGTAATAATTTGAATGACACAATGGATTTAGTTGATGAGGTCGACATCGTTGGTAGTTAGGATGATGGTATTTCTTAGACGATCCGCTAATTTTAGCGGGCGCTGTGTTCGATCCAGTTACTCATGTCCATATCGGCGAACGATTCGCACGGAATCTCAGGATTATTCTCACTGACCATCTGCAGTGACCACTGCTGAGAGAACTGCTGACCTATACTATTATCGCAAACAATCTTGGCCATCGTGATCTTACGGATCTGCGTCAACTGAGCTGAAATCACAAACGACCAAAATAGGGATCATATTTATGTATGTCAGTGTCAGCACTGCAACACTCCAACAATATATATATATATATATATATGCTCGAAATATATCTACGGCCTTTCGAAACTAATCTTAGTTGTTGATATATGAAATGGGACCGGTTAGGACGAGTGATTTGCTTCAACACATTGCAAGTTATGGTGCATGTAAGTTAGAAGTAGATTAAATTAGCTGATGAAGTAAGTTAGAGAATTAAGCAAGAGAAAAACGAAAACTAGTGCACTAATTCTGTTAAGTTGGATTCAGGAACTAGACGATTACAATAAAACTGCAGGCTCGCTTGAAGTAAGGGTGTTTACTGCCGCCCAAGGATGCGACTAATTTGGTAAATATGCAAAAAGTAAAGGACGACGAAGCGTTGCAAAGAAGCCGAGAAGCTGAAAATTGATTAGACTCTCACACATAAAAATCTAATGTCAGATGTTTGGAATTGCGGTTTTTCTGAAGGTAATCAGCCGTCCTGCCAATTGCTGCTGGGTCGACGGACCAACGATTCTGGGAATAAAATGTACTACTCACAAGGCGTAAAAGATCCAGCTTGTCCGCCATGTTCGTAGTAGAAGCGGTCACCATACTTCAGTCTCCAAAACTGGATTCCCATAATGCAGCCAAAGGTAGGACCAACGACTCCTCCTGGCAGCTGGTACTCAGACACACCACCAGTGAACAGATCAATGTCGTTCACGTGACTGTAACCACAATATAAAAACAAAATGACAACGAACAAACGCGAGAGTTATGTTACCATCTGTATAACCTGTATAGCTACCAATAACAATAACTTGATCGCCCGCTTTCCATGCGAATAATGACAGATATGTGAAATCGTTATGCTCCTAGACAGGTGTTTAGCACTGGTACGGTACCTACGAAACTACGAAAGTAATTTACCAAACCGTAGAACAACTTCGAAAAATCTAGAGGAAAACATTTGAAACGTATTGCGTTCCGTAGTTCGAAGTAGTTATTCTAGTGCATGCATCAATATCAGGTCGCAATCTGTTCAAGTTTTGGGACAGCCCTATTCTCTTTTGCTCCGCTGAACTTCTCTATTCCGTTTTGGTTTGACTTGAACTCTACTCAGTTTCGAAAGTCCTGGTATAGAATGACAATTTGCCTTTTTTACCACGCCTCTTGGACCATTGTGGTACATGTAACTAACTATATAATGACAGCAAGTCTGTAATCCTTGACACTGGCGATCCTTTCGATTTGCTCGACCGTCGTGTATATACCCGTCCACTTGATTAAGGACGTCCAGGGCGTTCTCGTCGTTCAAGATGACTTCTCTTATTACCCTCTAGAGCCCCTGCTTGATTTATTAAAGGGAAAAGGGCCCGAAAGGAATCAAGCCTGCAGAAGCATTACAATCTCGCGGAGTCACTTATCAGGAATGGCAGAGTTTGGAAACAGCAACAGCAGTCCTACCGACACGGACACTAGTGCCAGGGCCAGAATAAAGAGGACCCCCTCTACACTGTTCGCAATTGCAAACGTTGCTGCAAGAATAGAGAGCAGAAGCACTTATAACACTTCTATAAATGGACTGATGCGTCGTGGCAAACGCCATTCTGTAGTTAGTGTGTTTGTGTGGACGTGAAAGGACATAACTGCTTATTTTGTTCGGCCAACATTTATGAAGCTGATCGAGGATGCGAGAACGTTTTTTTAGCCTCCTTGGGTTCGATTAACTAAGGCTTTGATTTTTCTAAGCAGTCCGCCTGCTGCAAAGACAGGCGGGCACGTAAATGTTTGTGTAACTCATTCAGCTATAAAAAAAAATTACTTTTACTCCAAAAAATAGGAGTCAATTGTATAATAATATCCAAAGCACACAGGACAACTTGTGTTGCAAAAGAAACTAGGAGTGAAAAAATCTCCCATCCAGTTGGTGCAAGTCCCGCCGTTAGTTAATTAATTCCCCAGTCAGGTGACTTCGGCCCACTTCAATGCATAGTATCAGAAATGCTGAGAAAATCACTTAGCAGAAGGAGAATTAATATGGTGATATTGTCTAATAATCAACGTTGCTCTATAATGATCGACTTCTAAACTTATTTCCTGTCTACAAAGGTATAAGCGAAATACTTACGAAGTGCCGGGGATTTTTTTTGTTAAATTTTTTCTATACATTTTCTAAATTGAAAGCGGCAAGGAGTACTCACGCGTAAAGGCTCTCCAGACGCTCGCGGACAGGACGCGGCATGACATTGTCAAGGTCTTCAAAGGTATTGACCTCGATACCAAAGCATCCCTTGAGGTAATCGGTATATCCACGAAGACCGTGATCTCGTCCACGCTGAATGTTGAGGGCAATTAGATCAAGACCAAATGATTCATTGGAGAGACGATACAAGTGGTTGGTGACGTCATGTGTAATGAAGTTATCGAACACCTGCGAAGGCTGCTTCTGAAGGCCCCGCATGATCCTCTCCATTTTGCCGTGACGGAACTCGAACGGCTTGAAGAAGTTGTCTTGCAGCTTAATTCGCTTAATGTTACCGTGCGTGTCGACCTCCATAAAGTGCCCGTTAAGAATTGTATGGCCAAACCGGAACACAGCACCGGCAAATTCGTTGAGGATGGTGGGATCGATGTTTTTGTTGTATGTTGTGTAGCCATAGGGAAGTGTCTCCAGGCCAAATTCTCGATAGAATGCATCACCGAGGATAAGTGGAAGGAACTCCTGGTAGGTGATGTGTTGGATTTGGCCTATTACGATACGCCTAAACCGCACAGTTAATGTTAATCAATACTAATTATAAGCGAAGCTTTCCCACTAAAACCATCAGTTCGACATGTACCACCACCACCACCACGAAAAATGCCAAAACACAGGAAAGCTGACGCGTCGTGCGTTAATATATATCCATCGGTGAAACTATATCTGCGGATTAATAACCGTTCCATTGGCGGTCATTACACAACCATACATTACGCTTCCGCCTTTCTTTGCGTTCGATTTGTAGGTGAAGCTAATTAATAGATACATAGTTAGCATATTTTTATAGCAATGTACGTGGACCGTGAACAACTATAGACAGGCACATATTGAAGTCTACAAGATGACTGTAACTCGGTTTATTGTTTAATTTGTCACGGACAATTACCGACATATACCACATTGACTGTTACAGCAACACCCGCCTAAAACAAGATCAACCCCAGCCACCATTGATCAAACCAGGAAAGTTGGTCTCTGGGAAGAAGGAAGAGAACTCTGGGAGAGAAGAGAAGAAGATCTGGAAGCGCTGTTTTCTCTGTATCCGGCTCACTGGCCGGTGTGTCCTTTGTCAGAGGCGCTCCTACCACTGACACATTGCTGCTGCTGGTGCAGTATCCTCGATTGCCATACTAAATATTTGCATTGTCTATTCGTTCGTCACTTAAACGGACGTCTCTCCTAAATTTGATCATCACTTTCAGCGACGTGTCCAGCCTCACTTAAGCTACCCGCCTGTTTCCAAGACGCGGCCAGCTGTTGTTCGTGACTGACGCTTAACCCATCATTCACTCAACCGTTTCACTTCACAGCTCCAACTGAAGGTCCTGCCGTTACTTCTCCCTATGCCTCTAGAAGTTATGAACAAACAAAGATCGTCGTGGAGCCCGAAATCGTTCGACAAAACCGCTAAAGCCGGCTATGGGAAGAAGTAAGAACGACTTCAATATCCGCTCGCCAGCCAGCCAGCCAGCCGGCCGGCCGGCCGAGTAGAGGTGTAGAACAAGCTCCAGTCTACTTGCCATTTTTCCATTCTAAGCTATGAACACAATGTTATAATGGTCATATCTCTGATTCTTTCAAAATTGTCAGTGCGGCACGACAGTATAAATCTATCCATGTCACAACTTATTCACACATTCTACACAACGACAATTTATGATATTTAGCAACTGATAATAAGGTGAAACCCAATTGCAGATTATCAAGGGTTAGCCTATAGATATCGACCCAGAAAACTGAATACCATAGATATCTGAATATAAAAGGCAAAAAATCTAAAATACCGTGGCGGTAGCAGTTACAGCGACAAAAGCTGCTAGCGTCTGGCTCTTCAACCAGACAACTTTGCGTTGATTTTAGAGTCGATAGTTCAAACCTGAACATATTTACTTGGATACGTTCTCAGCAGTCAAAATTTCGAATCAGCCCACTATAGGGCAATCCTCCGCTTTCAAATAATTATTAATCATCAGACAAATCATTGTGCTACTTTAGCTAGCTGCGATGGGGTGCTTTGTTTGTATGCGTGTATTTTGTGGTTTTACTATATCGTAAGGCAACGAACAAATACGGAATCGTCGTTACGCGACTGCTGCAAGTAATAGCAATAAGGTGCTTATTTAGATATGATAACTTCATTAAATTTTATTGGTAAATATAATACTAAACAAATTTTGTCAATAAACTTTTTCATTTTATGCATTGAAAAAAACGCTCGACTAGATTTGCTTAAGCGGTGAGCAAAATGGTTCAAATGAAACGAAATTATAATGGTAAATATCCATCTTTCGTACGTACGATATCCATTAGCTGTCTACTGATGCAACTTACCTGGCTTCCTGAAATATCCTTTCATCTTCCCAGTGAGAGTTAAGGCGGGCCAATTTATCAGCAAGTCCATTGTGATGACGCAGCCAGAGTGTGTGCATGGCAGTGAGTCCAGGCTGTTCATTTACACGCTCGTCGCCTGTAACATGACGGCGTCATAGAAAAAAAGGAGAACAATCCTTGAGAAATTCTGCACACACCTCCCGTTCTAATTCAAAGACGAGGCACTGTATAGTGCTAATTTATTTATTATACTATCTATTTAGTAAACACGGACGGGTTTTTAGTCCCACCACGATCTACCTTGTATTCGTAGTTTGTAAATATTACCTGAGCCATACGAACGATCATGCACAGCGGGAAAGTCAAACACTATCCGATCAAACTCGTATGCATTTGACTAAGAGAAAGCCCACGCCGATGCGGCGTCAATCGAACGAAGAAGACCAAATAATATTTCCGCATACAATAAATTGGCTACTCTGTTACTCTAACAACTCTATACAATAAATTGGAGAAACTTTTATACCAGCTCTGAAGCAGAGATCTCCTTCCTCGGGTCGTGAGCACCTATCGCGGGTTGGATGGAACGAAGCAGGTAAAATCATGTCGCCCCTCTGTCCAACATCGAACTTGAGCCTCCCATCTCCAGCAAGGGTACGCAGACGGTACGTGTCCTCTTGATTGCTACCGTAAATATTTGAACCATCAATAAATGACGTTAGTGCATCAATCTGCTGGCGGGGACCTGAAAACGCATGTAAATAAACATGGATATAGTTTTAGATTTTTCTGAGAAAACGCTTCCACTCCTATTCTTCACAACTTACAATGCAGTTGCTGTTTGATAGCTAGACCTTAGAAATATTAATTCTGTAATACCATTGAGCTCAGAACACGAATTACAACTTATATCGACAGTCAAGAAGATTGTCAAATTTCTTTTTCAAAGACCAGATCATTATTTTTATTTTTTTCTTTACAAATATGTCGTATGTGACCAGAATTGTGATTATTTTTTATAGACAAACGTCTGGAACCCAGAATCTTAATGGCGGTCGCAATTAACTTCGCCTAATAATACCTGATCTCGACAAAACCTCAGAAACAGGCCCAAGCGAGCAAAGTAGACCATTTAAACGCAGATTGAAGTAATAAAACGGTGGATATTTCCAATGAGTTGGATAAAGATTAATTAATAGTATGTCCTAGTGTCGTATCTGTTTTAGTAGGGGAAGAGCATTGATATGACGAGTTTTTTAATATATTTATAAGACGGGGCCACAACGCGATATGCGGCGCGTCGATTAGCGCAATATCTTTACGCCTAGGCGATCCTAATGGAACACAGTTCCGTTGAACTTGTCTCTAGGAGGTCGACAGCTGGACACGTGAATTTTGTAGCGCCTTCTCTAAATGGACAAACTGGAAGCTACAAAAACTCCTAAGTTCGAATAGATATACAAGCAGAAGAAACATTTCAAGTAAGGATGAAGATTGAAGCTTTTCAATCAGATATTCTTCTCATGCACTATTGTCGGACAACTTATGTTTCTTAATAGTCGACTGTTTGCATAGACAAATGGTCGCCATTGTTCTTTGACGTTGCTGCGGTCGCGGAGAAGTCCTCAATTCCAGCATGAGTATTTACTTGAGCATTGGATTACACTAAGAGGGTCCAAGCCTTGCTCAAAAAGTGCGAGATGACGGAGTGGGGGTTATACCGACGATGACGTATATCGTCAGAAAAAGGGAAAGGACGTCAGCAGCGAACATAGTTGTACAAGCAATTCGTTGCTAGGCTGTAGAGCCGTGATGCGAATGCTATGATTTGCACGCATTCTAATGCGCCACCATTAGAATGCGTGCAACCACACCATGCGTACAATGCGTACCACCTTTTACTGTAAGTAGGTTTTCGTTGAGTGATTGCCCGGCCATGATAGGACCTATGACGAAAAACCAGCCTAAAGAATCAGTTCTTCACTTTAACACTGGCCTCTGTGTTGCTTTAGTGCAATAGAACAAAACGTAGGATCTCCTGCTGCTGCTGCTGCAGTCGATGGTAAACCACTGTTCGCATAATCGACTATTATCATATAATGTACACCTTCTCAGACCTCCAGCTTTTTATCCATTGAAGCCTGAACGGTAAAAACGAACAGATATATCTTTTCTTATACATACAATGCAAATAGACATTTTTTTTCGATACGTGTATTCGTATAGACACATGCTACAAATGTAAACAGGGACAAACATATGCCGCAGAGGCAGATTATTCCTGTCTAATTATATTTAGAAGCGTTATTTCAATGTGTTCGAAATATTAGGCTTCTGAAATTCGCGTTACCGGAATTACTAGTATACAATTACTTAAAGTTAATAACTTAACATTAAGGGACATGATTTATAGTGCAAGTACCGCTATTCTTTCTTAGAACCCAAACATATAACGGTTGTGAGGCCATTACTCACAGAATTAATGCGATATATGTTCATATGGACTTACCTAGAGCGCACTGGGGACAGCGAGCAGACCGTGGGAAGTTCATGCAGTGCTCTCCGTATTTGCTGAAGAACTTGTCATTCTCAGGAATATCGAACGAGAAGCATTTTGGATCATGGCGTTTGTTCGGAGAACAGCAATCAACGACGTCGTTTGGGTCTAATAAGGATAGTTAATTGACAATTTTCAAATTTTATAGGTAATTGGTTACTGGTTATATTTTCGATTTGTATATAGCCCGATGGCACGTCATGAAAACCTTCAAACATAAAGATTAAAATTTGATTTATTCACTAACAGCTCGAGTATGTAAATCACTATGACTGAAGCTTTAATACGAAAACTCACTTCCGAGATCCACAATTTCTTCAGGATGGCTCATGATCGGGGAGAGCGCAAAGTCATGGTCTAAGAACTGTCCCCACTGCATAAGCATGTGCGATACGTGTCTTGAGGGGCGATCCAGATCTACGTGGATTGTTGTAGATACCAGACGAGGATTTGGCAACTGAAGACCCGTCTCCGAAATTCGGGGCATCGACACTCCTAGAAGAAATAAATTGTCAACAGACAAACTATATGTTCGAGAGAAGTATTTTCGAGTGGTATTTATCCACTATGCAAGCCGCTTGAAGGCAAAAAGGGTCAAATGGGTATGGTACCCTATAACTCAGTTTACATAATTGATTACAAAGGTGTACGCGCTAAATTTACTGACGGAAACTTATATCTAGGATTTTCGAAAAAATGTTTTGCTTGTATCGGTAGTGAATGGCTAAATTAACCCAAAGGAAGATAAGGCCATATGTTTATATAACGCTATTGTTGTTAAAAATTTTGTCATTACATTCGCGAAGATTCTTCTATTCCATACCTAAATAGGTTCATTAATAGTAATTATTTTCTAAAAACGTCAATGAAAGGCACGCCTCATATGGCCTTACGTAAGTTTATGTTGCACAATACGAATAGCCTAAGTACTGGCACATGCACAAATCGTATTTTGTTTAAGAAGTAAAAAAAAAAAACAAATCAATAACTATTGTAATTTTGCATGACTCTGATGTAAATAATAATCCATGCTCAGTTATCATCCGTGATCGGATTCATAGTACTGTCGACAATGTTGTTTTATCCGGGTAATTCTTTGTGCTGTTAAAATCAATCTTGATAATAATCGCATCCGGTAGGTCGTTACTAAAAGTGATTATATGGTGTCCTCACGTATACACGTATTGTTTATAAACATAACCACACTGTGAGGTCACGTGATCCTCCCAGAGCTTTGATTAGCATGGATGGCATTTGGTTCCGAAACGTAATGGTTCATTTAGCCCCCAGGTTTGTTTTTCAGAATATAGCTTTCGCAGAGGCTAAGCTGGCTGTCATTTTTTGAAAGCGTACCATTTTTATTGTTTAGGAAAAGCTAGATGAAATACTTGACTGTTTCATAGGATTCGAAATTTTCAAATTTGGCTGGAAAGCGAAAATTGCCCTACCTATCTGACCTACGTACATCTCAAAAACTCTAAAGGCTTAATAATAATAAAAAAAAAAAAACTGTGAATCAACATTATTAGAAAAACGCTATTGTCCAATAAAGAAAACATACGCTCTTACCTATGTTAAAATATCTGATTTCATCAAAATTCTAGAGAAGCCTAAAACGTTTGCGAATGAATAATGCATCGTTCTGATTTTAAAACATAGTTTTAACCCTGAGTTTAACGAAATCATTGATAAAACAACTGTTAATTTCTACATTCTACAATACATGGCTGCTTCTGTAGAAACAATTCAATTTCAGCGTAGTAATCAGATTCTATAGTAAGAAAAGAACACTCAGCGACTAACAACTAGAACGAGAGGCCTTTGTAAACAGGATCGCACCCCTTCCCAATATCGTATGCATAGCATGTTTGTAGATCAGTGATGTGACGATGGTAAAGTTGATTTAACGACGCTGATGCAGTGGGCAACCGGGAGCACAAGTTGTCTCCTGATGCCCGTGGCTTGGCGTGGCGTGGCGGCCATGATTGTGTTCAAGATTAGCTTGTCGCTTCGTAGTCTCTATAATAAAGAGCCCCCGTTCCATGTCGCCCTAATCTCAACCCTCTAGGTAGAATACTGAAACAGGTGTAATACGCTGCAGGGCCTTGTGATGGCATAACCTTGAATAAAGAAAACCGACACGTGGATAGTATGTGCTTCTTCGGACGTTAAGGAAATAGCATTTTTCTTTATAACTTTATCCGTATGAAGGGAGTTGCGGTCGCTCTATAAGAGTACAACTTGCACCCAACCTCTGGTCCATTCACTGTTGATAACGGCAGGCTGTAGATTCATGCACTTTGATAAACATTTGATAATTTGGTGTTGTGATGCATTCTTGCTCAACTATAGCTTTCAAGCCTTCCGATGTCGTCGGTTTTCTGGCGTAACAATGATCTATACGATGTTCCCACAAGAAAAAAGTCATTTGGCGTCAGTTGTGGGAAACGGGCAAGGTATTCTACGAGACCCCTTCGTCCAAGCCATCGATTTAGAAGACTCTCACCAAGATGTAGTCCTACACCACGATGATAGCGTGCAAGTCCTCTATGTTATTACAACTAAAAATTCACTATTGTCATCAAAGTTCCCTTAAATGAGAGGTAAAACAAATTCTTGCAGACAATTGACGCCACCGTACACATTGTTCTGAGATACCCTGAATGTCCGTATACATCTACAACGAACCGTCAGCATAGCGGGGCGGCAACAGTCGTCGAAGACAAGTGAATGATTTTCCCCATTCAGCGTGCTCAAGGTTGTTGCACGATCCATCGGCCGTTCGGTAGGGTTTGTCGGAGCAAATTAGGTTAGAATGATGATGACACTGTTGCGCGGCGTGTTCAAGCTTTGATCCGGCGAGGTTTGCTCGTGCCAATCCGTGAAATTCGTCTTCCCAAAACATCTTCATTCTGAGACAAATATTCAATATTAGATTTATGAAATTCTGTTAATATACGTTTTTTACTGATAATATCGGGAAGGAAAAATGTTACCAATGATTTTTGCCTCTTTTCCAACCCTATCAGTGAATAAATACTCCTGATAAACTCTAGATAACAAAACCTATATATTTTACTAAATTCCTAGGTTACGTACTAAATATTCTGAAAGGACTTGCTAACTAAAAAAAAAACTACCGAACACGTAAAGAGGTTGATTTTGAATTTTACTTCTATTTGCTCTCGGCTATGCTGTGCTTTTCACAGATTTGATTAAAACGGAAACAACTTTCCCGTAAAGATTTACATCGAACGTACGGCCCAACGAGCACCCACGTTGTCTCACTAATATAACGCACTTTCTCGAGCGTATCGTAACGATATTGTACGGTACTTCCATTGTAAAATTTAACCTGCAGGCATATTTTTACAACGGAACTACCTTACAATACAGTCCGCTATTGCCCTTTTGGAAACCGTTTGGAGGAAACATACTTGTATACGTTACGAGTGCAAATGATGATGGATTTATCTTATCTTCAAATAGGTACATGGTGTATCCACGGTATTGTACTTAATAACAACATTTAGCTGGAAACACAATTTTCAGATTTAGTGCAGAGCGTAGCATAGTATACAGAGCTAAAGTGTTGGCTTGCTAGATTACTTTCGTCACTGAAAATGTTTGTTTGTATACGTGGCGAGCGCACTGTTTGTATTGGCATAGCTACGATCTATAATGCCATCATCAAATTCTAAGTATAGGCTTAGGACACTCTTTATTAGGACATGCATTTATACACACTAAAGTGGCAATTTGTGCCTTGGAATCTTCGAAGCTGTTCTCCTCGGCACAAACAATTATAGACCGAACCGATAAATAAGCATTACTACTCACTTTTTGGAAAGGATTTTTGTCGTTTCCTCGAAAATAGAAGACATATCGTCCATGTGTATTGCCTGTGATTTTGCAGCTCGAAACTGCATGTGACGTTGAGCCGCTGGGCACATCGGATATCCGTGGGCTTTATTCGATACTGAAATGCGTATAAGCGCCCCACAGCTGTAAGTCTCATAGTGGTTGTTTTGGACTTTATAATGACGGTTCTGAGTAAAATAATCTTTACGTTACGTGAGCGCACACGTCCATACAATACAGTACTTCGCTATATCCGGAAACCATGGCATATACTAACATTGCAGATGTCTTAACCATACATATATAAAAATCCATTCGAGTACATAACGAAAAAGATCTTTATTATCACAGGAGCACTAACAGAAAGGTCACATTTATAAATAGACCGAATAATTTCCTGCGAGTTAGTCTATACACCTGGATTTAGTGGTCTGAACAGTGCTAAATAACCTTCTAGGTTTCGTGACAAAGAAGAACAGCAAATATTTCACTATAGATGTTTGTGTTTTTTATGACGGAGCTCTTAAAAAAACCGCATCTTAAACGTTTCGTTAGTCTAATAGACTGACGATTTGTAGAAGAAAAAAACTTAGTAACGCATTGCGTCCAATTTGTTTGGTTAACCAAAATATTACAATTTATGTGAAAATTACAAACCCCTAAGAATAAGGGATTATGCGAATATTTGATAAATTCGATTAGGATCAATTTGGTTATGTTATCTTATCTTATCTTCTTTACTTAGAATTTAGTTTTCTCTTATATACGATAAAATCAATTTGCCTTCCGGCCTTTGCAAAAAAAAATTACTCCAGTTGTCTGATGGGTAAACCCTTACGAAGAACGATGACCACGAGCTTCTGCTAACGGTGTACCTAGCATGGTGCAGCAAGTAGCAGTACACCGAAATTTAATCACTAAGAACAAAACAACCATTGATAAATATATACATTATCAATTAAAGCTAGTATCAACGAGGGAAGCATATAATGGAGATAAGTGCGTCTGACGAAACCAAGTTGAAATGCTGTAGCTATATGATTGATGTATGAATAAATAATACGCGATCCACTTAGCAGATTGGATACTTTTTTTAATTTGCGCTGATCTTCAGGCGAACCAGATAAGGCATTGCCAGCAATACCATCACACGCTGAGTAGTTTATTCAAACGATTACTCTTACCTAAATGTTTTAAACAAGCACAGCGTCCTTAGTTTTTTTCTTCAAGAAACCACCTGGATTCCCACATGGTAGTATTTACTAAAAATACCATTTGCATTTCGCATCATTTAAAAATTAAAAAATTCATTCGGTCCTTCACTAATTCTACCAAGAAGTATCTCTATTTTTTCTGTATATAAATTAAAAAAAAAAAAAACATTTTTAGAATATGACCGGTTATGTTAAGATACATATTTTAGAAACGAAAAAGGCGTCAGCCTTCATAAGTACGCCTGGACCTTCACTTACGTACATGCGAATGCCGCGTTCGTAGGTGTGTCGTTCCCTGCTCGCATAAACCTAACTATACCTACAAGAAAGCAGAGGACTACTTTTGCTAGGTTAAATTGCAATTTATTTTCTCACTACTGCCAATTTATACTGACCCTCATAAATGTTGTCAACGAATCAACGAGTAATATTTAGTTTCAAGACTGGACTTAGGCTAGTGGTACACATGATTCGCTTCGTGTTGCTAAAAGGGCTCGTCAGCGGAGATTTAAACAAATAAGTGATCCAAGCTTCTCGATCTGCTACTGCCGTTTAGCATTACTTCAGATGGCTAATTCGTAGCCCGGAGCGAAGGGTCTATCTATTTTTTGGTCCGTCATTTTTAGGTTTCAAGCCCAGACCGCTTCTTGTATCTTTAAATGTAGCAGGCGAACACGTTAAATTTATGTTATCGTTGCGTCAAGCAGCAAGGTTGCTTAACGGAGGCAGCACCGACTTAAACTTCACCAAAAATTTAGCCACATATTCTCAGAGAATTAGATAATCTTTTACAATACGTTACTAACGTGAGGCTCGTTCGAAGAGTTTGTTCTGTACGATAACCGTTTGGGCCTCATCGACAGCTTCATCGATCACGTGGGAATGCACGTCCGGAATGGTGGGTGATGTCGGGTCGACCGGGAAAGAAATCTTTGGGCGCCAAAACAGCCCAGCGTGGTCCGAGTGTGTCCATGATGGCGTCGTCCAATAGGCGCACATCGTCAAGATAAACAACGCCCTGAAACAGTTAGAATCAGATTGTGTTTGTGACGGTTAGAAGATGCTAGAGCTTCGCATGTTTGTAGGTTGTTGGCAAAGCAAGTACCCTCTCTTACGCGCAGCAACGCATGATATATTTGTTGATATAATAATATGATAAATGATGCATATGATGGTTTGATAAAATTCTCTAGTTTTTCGACGGCGATATGGTATGGAGCACAGTATTAAACGCTTTCACATAAAATCAAAAATATCGGTATATGGAGAATAGCAAGATATTATGCACTGATAATACAAAAACAAGTTGGCAGTGATGTAGCTTTCAGTGAACGCGGGCGTACGTACGATCGCTTTAAATATCATTATCGTTCATAACAAAATGTCAGCACAGTTGACTAGTTAATCTATGGACCAACGATGATGACTCGGGTGATCCACTTTGCTAACGAACGTTTTCCCGACCAATGCATGTATGTTGATGGGTATTTTTTACGTGTATGAAACTGGCGAAGTACTCTACTCCTTACGATTATCATACGATGCAGAACGGTGACAAGCTATGATGAACTAGATAAAATATTATTCAGTGTGTGCTGGCTGGCTGGCTGGCTGGCTCCTCAGGCAGGTGTTCCGTAAATCCTCTGTGGCTAGGGCCAGACAATCCATAACGATCGTAATAACCGGAAAACGTACACAATCCATAAGTTGGTCGTAAAAACAACCCATCTATCACAGTGTGAACAATAATAAGCCACCCTAATAAAGATAATACAAATAATCTTCATAACCGCGATCACCTCGACGATGATCCCAGTGGCTAGTAGTTTGGTCCAGATGAATAAAGACACAAATCGAGTGAGACAGAATGAGAAGACTGTTGGTTCTGCTATCTGATCTTATAAGAACATTAGCGTTACCACTCTGTGTGTACGCGTTTGTCCATCAATCGCTGTTACACCAACAACATAAGCAACGCCGGTTTTTCTCTGACCTGTTACCCTCTGGATTTAATCGGATCCGTCAAATTATTATTATTATTATTATTGTTCTCGTCGGGAATACTAAAGTGTCGACTGAAGCCATAGCAACTTTGAAACATCAACTACTGCTCACATAAAATCTTTGCAGTACCAATTTGCAGCGAAAGGTTAGCGTCTACCTCACAAACTACGATTGCCCGTGTATGGAAAAAACCTCCCGAGTTCTTCGCAAAAGACTAGCTCAAACTAGATAGACGGCGACGCGTTTGTTCAATGATACCATACGAAATTCCGCCTCAATTAAAATGCTTCTCTGTATGGACAGGGTTGAAAGCCCAATGCAGATCGCATTTTATTTACTCGATATATAACTTATTTATCCGATCTCATCGCACAGACAAGCCAGGCACACGACGCCGGAGCGGAAATAATGTGTAAAATCTCAGATCCGCGTCAAAGTTCTGATGGAACTTACAGAGCCCACAGGTATGATCCATTGATCGGTATAATGTTATACAAATGAAGGCGTACAACAAATAGGTCAGATTGCAGAACAAAGAAGGACTTAGTAGGAAAAAGGCCACATAGACATATGATCGATCACCTTTAAAGCAAAATTTATTTATAAAATTATTCGTCGGCTTTTTTGTTTCACGATTATCTGCCTTTCATCTCACTGAATTTCTAAGAAGGCTTTTTCTTTATTTTTGAATCTGTAAAAGTTGGTAATAGAGCTGATTTCACAGAGCAAAACATACCATAGTTTAAGTGTATGAAACGCCTTTTGAACTGGAACCCCTTTAGAGCTATGAATTTCCAAACTTAGAACTCATGGAATACTATCGGGCCAAGCAGTTTAATGGGAACGGTAGCCGATCTTAAGCATTTCAATAGTAGAACTGCACGCTTTTCTACTACTCTTTGTTATATTGTTTTTTCTGTACTTTGTTGTCAAAGCGGTTCTTCGTTGGGGGAATAGTTCACTTGGGTTCTCGCACTAACGAATGCATATGTTATATTGCTTCTACGTCTTCACGTTCTTCTCCGTAACCTTCCACCTGCAACAACAAAATCATTAGCGCTTTACAGCTGCGACGCAGGCTGCTGCTATAACTACTACACGCCTGTTAACAAAGCACCGTCCACCTATCTGGCTACATTGTTACTTATACTTCGTCTCGTAGTAACGAGCAACCAGGTACATCTCCTGCTTATCGTCCTGTTGTATTTCTGGGTGCCTTAACACGGCCGACCTCAACAAGGTCACCAAAGGACTACTGTTCCACACAGTCACAAATGGCGAAAAGGTGCAGTTGTTATGTCGGCCGCAATCATTTTGTTTGCTACTAGCCGTGTCGTTATCCTCGGAGTTTCTGCTTCTGTGACTCCTAGCTAGTGACTACTCCTACAGGCCGTTGATTGATGCCGCCTGCCACTGCATGTGAGACTAAGCCAGGCTTGCCTTCCCAGTACGAAGAAAACGGCGTGCCACTTATTCCGCCATTGTTGTCCTGTTTTCCTTGTACGTCCTTTACTGATGAATAGGTACATACAAGATACATTTAGGTAGGTAACAGTGCACACCCACCATTTGCGTATTGTGCAATATAGATGTTAACAGAGTGGCCGAGTCGTTGCAGCTGTGGGATAATCGACAGGACCCTTTTGTTCGGTGGCGGTGGGAAAGTGTTCGTCAGCTGCTATAGTGACCATAAGCATTCATGAGAGTGCTCTGCAGCCGATCGCGCAAGCACATAGGATTGTTCCTGTTAGAACTGTCCCAGACTAGATTCGCATCAATGCGGCTGGTCGACGGAAACAAACACGCATGAACTAATGCCCTACAAAGAAGCATAATCTGAGTGGAAATTGCCGACGCATCATTACCACAATGATATCACCATATGGTTTTTGCCAATTGCCTCTGTGATCAATAAAGCGATATAGCATTTAGTCGTACTCATCGAAAGGGGTAATATACCCAATGCAAGCACATACATTACATAAATATATTGGCATTTAGATGTGCAAAACCGGCCTTTTTTTTGTTATTCCTATACTTTTTTAGGCAGACAGGATGGCTCAAACGTATCTGGTAGAGTTGTGGGACTTCTCCCATCCGTTCTCCGTCTAACCTCCGTTGAATTTTCTTTACACAGTCATTTCTCTCAACGTATTTTATTTAGGTATAAGACCATTAGTTGTAATAAGTAAAATAGAAGATGATAAGAGGAACAAAATTGATGAATTACTTTTTTTTGTGGCTGCACGGTTTGTGTAATGTGGATCCAGCATTTGAACGCTCCTTATACAGCCGAACCTAAATACTGAGATTACAACTATCTCAAGGATAAACCTTGTAAAAAAAATTTTATGTGGTTGTAACGATATTTTTCCCCGTTTGTCGATCAGAACGTTCTTGACAAACGCGTCTATTCACTAGAGCCTTGCATTCGGTTAACTTGGTCCACTCAAAAGTCTGGGTTCCAAAGACCCTTATTCATACTTTTAGCTATCTACTCATCGGCGTTGTTATGCTCACATTTAGCCCAATCAGGCTTCATAAGCAGAAACTTTGTGAATTTCTAAACTATTAACTGTAGTAGAAGGGCATCGTCGCACGCCGAATTAGGCCTGCGATAACTCGTTGGTGCCTGCAGATGTATGATGTCCCTGAAAGTCGTATAGCCTACTACTACACACAGTAGCACTCTGTTTCACATTGTCGTATTTATTGCATGAGTACAAATATTGTCACAGTTTTATTATACAAACGTACAAATTAATTATTTTAAAATATTTAGATGTATGCCTATAAATGCCCGGCCAAAGAGATTACTTAGCGAAAGTACGGCAACGCGTGACTCTTTATGGTACGTCAGCCTTACTCCACCACATTTCGGATAGACTTACGTAGCGTTCGGAAGTCAACACTCAGTATATTACGTGGGATTCGGTAAAACCCATGTACCGTAAAACGGGTAGCTATGTATTGGTCTGTTCGATTTGCTTCTCTCCCGGTTTCATTGGCCCTTGTTTCTGTGTTAGAAAAGTCGGAATCGATCTCCGCTATCATTCTTTTCCATGGACTGATAAACAAGTAGGAGTAAGAAGTAAGAAATTTACGTCTGCATCTCAGATCAACTATACATAGCCGTGTGTTCTCTAAAGGGCACACGCGTCATACGTTTATACAATATAATTACATTTTTTTACACATAATAAATATGCCATTTAATTAACAATAAGTTATTTTCCATTCCCTACAGTTATCAAAAGATCTGATGAGCTCTCTCGTTAATGAATACGCCTTTCTGAATGAAGTGACAATACGTTGAAACGCAGATACTGACCGGAACTTTGGTTTTATCCCTAACGGCGACACCTTCTGCGGTCGTTCCTGTGACTGATTTTTGGAATTACTGGTGCATTTTTGAGAAATGTTAGATGCAAAAAAATAACGCCGGTCAACAGGTCCCTCTGCTTTTTTGCTCTTGAAAAGGTTCTGTCTGATTTTAATAACATGAAGCTTGTGTGTGGGGTGCAGTGTAAGCAGTCTTACGTTTAATAGAATAAACTTACATCCATTGATGAAAACCAAGGCAGTTTCGATTCGAGTTCGTCTACAGGGAAAACATATTTTCTGATACTCACACGTATTTCAAAAACGGACCTACGAATCTATCCAATATAAATTTGTAATTTTATTTTTGAAAGAACAGGCTTCATTCTAATGCCAAGAACGGTGATAAACGAGTAATCAGAGGAAGAAGGAACAAATGATTTCTATAAATGCTTCATAATTCAACAAGGAACCAAATATATAAGGGTTGCTATAGCAGAGAACTAGCGTAATTGGAAGTGACAAGTGAAAGTCAATTATCTTCACGCCAGTAGCTATAAAATCAATCTATCACTAATTTACTATCCATTTATTAATTTCATTTATTATATTGATAATAATTATCTTGACTCTTGACTGCCGTTCGAAGCTAGCGTTTGTGTTGCGCCAACATTGAGCACCAACGTATGCTCT